GAGAGAGAGAGGAAAACGAGAGATCAGAGAGCGGCCAAAGAGCGAGACTAGAGACACAGAGAGAGAGAGACAAAAGTGAAAGTCCAGAGGGAGACTAGAGAGAGAGGAAAACCAGAGAGACCAGAGAAAGACTAGAGAGAGAGAGAAACCAGAAAGACCAGTCCAGAGGGAGACTAGAAAGAGAGACCCGGAGAGAGAAAGAAAGACTCGAGAGAGACCCAAGAGAGAAGAAAATCAAAGAGAGACCAAAGAGGGAGACTAGAGAGAGATCGACCAGAGTGAGGCTTGAGAGAGAGACCAGAGAGTGGAGGACCAGAGTGAAACCTTAGCAAAAGAGAGAGACGAGAGTGGGTTTATCCAGGACCGAGGCTGCTGTGTGGTAAAGGACTGAAGATCCTCCCAGGTGAGGATGGAGGTCCAGTCCATGAGTCCGAGACAGGGCCGACCAGTTCACAGGTGCTGGTCCAAAAGGCCAAATTCAGGACAGCGGGTGAATAGCAATGAACAGACTACAGCTGCAGTCATCATGATGAAAGATCTGGGCTCTTTGAAACCTGCTGATGTCACATTACGCTAAGAACATCCGAAACCTTCATTCATACTTTTGTATCTTTTATACGTCTTCTCCGTCCCCAAATTAGGTCTTTTTGGATTGGCTTCTGGTCTGTCTACTCCAGATGTGACATTTGTGGCGTTTCCAGTTAAACATATTTGTTGAATTTAAAGCTCCCATTGGACTCCATCACACATTACTTACTCTGACTTTCTAAAATGTTTGGAGCTAAATGGATTGACCAGCATGTCGTGACAAGACTAGAGAGAGAGACCCAGAGAGAGAAACAAGAGAGAGTCTAGAGTGGGAGTCCAGAGGGAGACTAGAAAGAGACCCAGATAGAGAGAAAGACCGGAGAGAGACCTGTGAGATCAAGGAAAACCGTAGAGAGAGACCAGGGAGAGAGAGACAAGAGTGAAAGTCCAGAGGGAGACTAGAGAGAGAGACCCAGAGAGAGAGAAAGACCAGAGAGAAACCTGAGAGAGAGGAATACCAGAGAGTAACTAGAGAGAGAGACCCAGAGAGAGAGAAAGACCGGAGAGAAACCTGAGAGAGAGGAATACCAGAGAGTAACTAGAGAGAGAGAGAAAGACCGGAGAGAAACCTGTGAGATCAAGGAAAACCAGAGAGAGACTCAGAGAGAAAGCCAGAGAGAGACTATTGGTCTGTCTACTTCAGATGTGACATGGCGTTTCCAGTTAAACATATTTGTTGAATTTAAAGCTCCCATTGGACTTCACTTACTCTGACTTTCTAACATATTTGGAGCTAAGTGGATTGACGAGCATGTGGCGTAGCGGTCTCCAGTCTCCGTGTTTCCAGGAGAAGCCTCGTCTCTGGTCCACGTCATGGTCCAGGTCTGTTTCTGATGAGGATCACAGTTGGAATCCCACAGAAACACGACCGCTCCTGCCTCTTGGTGGTTCTCCTCGGTCCGTTCCCGCCGCTGCTGCCGTGACACATGCTAAAACGCTTCGCTGAGCTCAGTCTCTGTGGAGCCGTGAAAACTCTAAACTGGTAGAAGGGAAAAGAAGACGAGTTATTACAAATCTGTGCTCTTACATGTCGGGGTTTTATGGAGGGCAGAGGTTTGGCAGCGCTCCGAGGATCCTGAGAGAAAGATGTTCTGGGGTAAATGTTTTAAATGCTACGGTTTACAAAGAAACACATGAGAGAGATTCAACGAAAGCAAAGGACACTTCCACATGGTTTTTCTCTTTCCTCCATGCTCCACTGTTCTGCTTCATTACATCAATGGGCCCAAAGCGCACCCTTGAGGAACCCCCAGCAGAATGTTTTCTATATGTGCATGCCGTATATGTGTACATTTTTTATTCAAGCTAAAATGCCACGGTGAAACTAATCAACCACAACAGAAACAGCACAAGTGAAGAACATTAAAGTCTGTGGAAGGAAGCTGTTAGCGTAAGTTAGCATAAGCTGTTAGCATGTTAGCATTTCCTGCATCTCAACTAGTGGGGGCGGGTCCCAGCTCAAAAGTGGCCTGAATGAGGTGCGTTGACATGCTGCAATACCACCCCGGGCCGATGGGGGTGGACCCGGAATAAGAATTAGCCAATGCTAACATATAGCATTAGCTGACCTCTCGAAAACGTCTTTACAGGATGGTCCAAAGTTGGCTCTTGGCCCAAAGCTCCGTTCCACATGTGGGTCAATGCTGAGGGGGGTGTTTTGGACTTTGAATTTTTGAAGTCACTCGTTTAAATGAATGGAGCTCGTGCAGCTGACGCATGCACAGATGCGATTTTTCACATTTTCCAGCCCTCACGGCCATTTTGAATCACTCCATGAAAGCCCAATTTTTGGCCCATTAGTTAGAACGACGGAGATAGGCGTGACTACATCCGTTAATATTTACAATCTATGATCTCAACAATAAGGCCCATAAATGGCGGCAACGACCTGTAACGGGGATCACTGATATTCATGTGTTTATTGCATGTATTTGTTCTTATATAAATAGTTCTTATATATTTTATGTCTATGAAAATGTTTGAGTTTGGAAATCGCACATTTGAAACTATTTTATTAAACTTGAATTGAAAGCATTTTGATTTCAGCGAATGGTCCCTTCCTCTTACTGTGTTCTGAAATATTGTTTCTGTTGGACGAGGGGCTTGGCACACGCTGCTGCTTCGTCCGACCCCTTTTCAAACGGTTCTTTTTGCGTCCGGTTTAGTTTCTGTTGAACCAGTCTGCGTCTGAAATAAATACTTTTCGATGAGTTTTTGTTTTTTCTGAATTACACATGCGTACCTCTCTAACACCACGGAGCACGGCGCCATGTTGTTCTCTGTTTGGACTGAAACAAAGTCGTGTTTTGCTTTCATTCTTGACCCATGAATAATAAAATCAATACCGTGTGTAGGTGCGGAGCCAGGGCGTCACCGAGGAGCTCAAGTGTCTCTCTCTCCTCAACGTTCTGGACAAAGACAACATCCCCGACCAGCTCACTCAGCTGTTAGGAGAGCCCTGCATCAAGCTGGCGGAGGGCATCAAGGCCTACATCTCCAAGGTAGGACTCTTTAAAGCTGGGGTATGTAACTTTAGCTCTCATAGACAATACATGTGTTTGTCCAACAGGTAACAGCCTGGGCCTCGAACCCGGCTTGCGACTTAGACCTCCTTTATCTCTCCTCTGGTCTCTCTCTGGTCTCTCTCTGGTCTCTCTCTGGTCTCTCTCTGGTCTCTCTCTGGTCTCTCTCTGGTCTCTCTCTCTGGTCTCTCTGTGGTCTCTCTCTGGTCTCTCTCTGGTCTCTCTGTGGTCTCTCTCTGGTCTCTCTCTGGTCTCTCTCTGGTCTCTCTCTGGTCTCTCTCTGGTCTCTCTCTGGTCTCTCTGTGGTCTCTCTCTGGTCTCTCTCTGTGGTCTCTCTCTGTGGTCTCTCTCTGGTCTCTCTCTGGTCCCTCTCTGGTCTCTCTGTGGTCTCTCTGTGGTCTCTCTGTGGTCTCTCTCTGGTCTCTCTCTGGTCTCTCTCTGTGGTCTCTCTCTGGTCTCTCTCTGG